GCTCATGTGACTTTGCTCATTCTATGACAGTTGTTTGCAATATGATCTTTATTGATCTTCATTGATCTTTGGATTTCATCATAGAAATATTAGATAAGTGTTAATGAAATGAATGTTTTCCTTCTACTTACAGGTTATTATTATTTATAACCCATTGAGTATTACCAGCTAGACTTTGTGATATTAAAGTAAGATATACATTCTTTCAAGTTCATTGTACTGTACTGCCCTATGGAAGGCCTTGTTGGGACACCTTCCTTTTTTAGGTAATCCAAAGCCAAGCTCCCAGCACAGTTCTTCATTCTTCTCAGCCTGTGCTGCTCAAATCACTAGAAGCTCTAACCATTCCAAAGAAAACACTACCAGGGTAGGGGGCATAGTAATTGCACAGAGACACTACAGACTGATAATTAACTGGATGCCAATAAAAACATGATAGGCACAGTACACTGAGTGATTATGGGGCTTTTATGTACCTTTTGTCACTAAATATGGTAGTTTAAACCAACAAAACAGTGGAAGTTTTTTTGGTTACTTGATTTGTAGGTAAAGAAGCTGAGACTCAGAGAGTTAAATTAAATCGCATAGCTAAAATGGCACCAGGATTTGAAGCCTGACTATTTTCCCTATACCACTGGTTCTCAAATTTTAGAATGTAATAGAATCACCTGGAGTGCTTTAAGACATACATTTCTCAGTCTTACTCCCAGAATTTCTGATTCAGTGGACCTAGGGTGGGGGCAGGAGACAAGAATTTTTTTTTTTTAAATAGATCTTTATTGATTTCAGAGAGAGGAAAAGAGGGGAAGAGAGAGAGAGACAGAAACATCAATGATGAGAGAGTCATTGATCGAGCCCGCAACCCGGGCATGTGCCCTGACCGGGAATCGAACCCCAATCGCCTGGATCCTAGGTCGACGCTCAACCGCTGAGCCACGCCAGGCCCGGCAGAATTTTCACATCTAACGAGTTTAAAATTATGTACATGCTGCTGTTTAAAAGAAAAATTTTCATTTAACCCTCTCCCTTACCCTAAATATTAGGAGTTTATGCTGTAACATTGAATGAGAAAGAGCACCGTGATGGGAACTAGGAGTCCCAGGTTGTAAGCCCAGCTATGTGACTAATTTGCTGGGTTATCCTGTGGAAGTTACTTCACTTGTTAAGTCCTCAGCTTCCTTGACCATCCTAAATTCAGGGATTTTGTTAGACGCCTGTGGGTCCCTCCTGGCTGCATCATCTGTGACCCACAGCCTCTCCTGAAAGTGATCTCTTGCTTCCGGATGCAGCAGGAGGGGGCGAATGAAGGAAGATACAGAAATAAGCCCTTCGTTCCTTTGGAATCTCCCCCCACTTGCTCCAAGGCACAGTTGCCATGCCCAGGAGGCATCCCCTGCAGGGTTAGGCTGGGGAGAGAAAGTTTAGCAAATGAACCAGGGCAGAGGAAGAAACTCCTGAGGGTCTTGCCTGCTGACTTCATATCACAACTGGCCACTTTTGCTGAGGACATTGATAAATGGGCGTGGGTTTTTTTAAGTCTAAAGAAGTATTTCCAGATCCTTATTCAATGTTATACTAATAGGTACCTGGATGAAAGGGCCCCATATTAAACGAAGTTTGAGGAAAACCGGAGAGAATAGTTTCCTGCACTTCAGAACTCCTCAGAGCCTTTCCCAATCCAGGTTCATCCTGTGCCATCCAGGACGCTGGTGTTTTCCATCTTTCTACTCAGCTTTCCTCAGTGTTGGGTTTTATCTCTTCCTGGGGGAGAAGTGGGTATGGCGCTTTCAGGAGCCACATCTCACTCCAGAGGCCCTAGCCCTAAAGTCACATTGCCCAGCCATCATGGGCCAGTTACTACACCAGTTACTGTAACAGGAATGACTATGACCGGCATGGAGTGACCCACTGTCACCTCCTAGCCTGGGAAGGGCCACTGCTCTCCTTTAGCCTGGGAAGAAATCTGGGGCCAATACAGATGAAGGGAATGAGTGTTAGCTAAGCAATAACTGTCCGCACAGTTACAAAGCTCAAGATATAATGATTAAGTTTTCGAGAAGATCTTAACCAACTGTCAAAACCCTTGCAGCTCTCCTGCAAGTCCAGGAATTCAAAGCAAGCAATATAACTGCTGCAGTGCTTTTCCTCACCCCATCCCATCCCCACCAAGCCCCCCACGATCAGTGAGCAAGCTTGCACGCTGTCTCGTGGCCCGAGTAAATCCCCTTCAGTACCACGAAAGAAGTAACAAACGCATGAGTCTCACTGCAAGTAAACTGTGTTCTCCAGGAATAAGCTTCAGAGTGTCACAAATTCTGTCGAAAAATAGATAGTGTAATCGCGATGTAGTATCGCATCGCCCTCTCCCAGAGCTGTGGCCCTGAATCACAGCCTAATGTGTCCCCAGTTCTCTGACTGAAGAGTCACTCTTAGAAGAGTTAATCCCAAAGAAGGTGGTTTAAGTGGTTTCCAGGTAAGTCAGTTGAAAGCAATTTGAACAAAAAAAATTTAGCTGAAAGCAGTTTGCTGGAAGAATCTCTCCAAAATGTTAATTGGTCAGAAATTTATATTCTTAGTCACCAGTGATAATTATTGATTGAATGAGCAAACATAAGAAAATCTGCCCACAGACAGCAAGAGCTGACTCTTGGTTAGTGGGATTAGGGGTGCTTTCACTAGTCTTTTGCTGGCTTGCATTTAATAATAGAAGAGGTAAAGCAGTGATTTTCTGTATTGCTTTTATTTTGAATAAGAAAATAGTAAAATGAAAGGATATGGACGTTTTCAGGATTTGAAGTTTTATCTTCCTTTCTTATATTCTAATTCACTTTAAGCCAGTATGCTAGCTGTGCTTATTTGGCAATTTTTCTATTTTTGTGCTTGGTGATGAAAGATATTTTGTTTGTTCCAACTGGCCCCTTAATTTTGGAGAGCACCAGGCAAGAGTAATTGGCTTAAAATAAATTAGAAATTTTAAAAAGCAAAAAAGTAGATAACCACAGAAAATTTAAAGCTATTTTTAAAACTGCTTTTAAATGCATTAAAAGGGATGACAAACCCAGGTTTTACCACAATTTCCAATACTCAGGGCCACCAGGAGCCAGTCAATATGCAGGGTGTTCATTGTACACCTCCAGGCAGCCTAGGGTATGGGGCCACCCCCTGCAGTCATAGGACTCAGCAACCTAAACATAAACTGACCTAATACATGCTTTCTGTCCAATTGTCCTTGGTCTGATTATAGCCTGTTGTTTTAATAGAGGGAACACTTGTTTATGTTTCTGCTCAGGGCTCCTGGATAGTCCTAAGGATCTTAAGGAATTCTGAATCCAGTGCTGGAAGCCTGGAATGCCAGGTGCTGTTCTAAAGCCTCTGGGGAGGGCTTGTTCTGTTTTCATTAAAAGAGTAGCACTATGGGAAGCACCATTTATTTGTTGAGCTTCTATTACTGAACTGGTGGTTCTGCCTCCACGCCTGTCCCCAGCATAATATTTCTAACTCACTGGCCTGCCTTAAATTCTTCGGGATCTCCCCCAGCATCTTCTGGACACAATCTAAACTCCTTCACTGAGATTCTGAAGCTCTTCCTATCTCCACCCCATCCCCACCAAGCACCATGTGTACCGCAGGCTCTTGACACAATGAACTACTGAACATCTTTGAGTGCATCATGCTTGAGCAGGCTCTGCACATCCCAACCCAGTTTCCTAAGCCTGACTCGCCCCTCATTGTCCTGTACACTTGGCCTAGAACTCACCTCTGTAGGGAAACCTTCCCTGACCCACTCCTCCCTCTGGGAACTCTCTCTGAGCTCCTGCTGCATCCTGTACACTCTCCTAGTCCCATATTCATGCCACCATGTTACATACAGTGTGTGATGTCATAAGATGCATGATATAATCATGTTGCTATCATCCTCCCAGAGGGCAAGACTAGCACCTCCTTATTTTTCTCTATAGTCACTGCTTAGCACAATTACTCACACTTAGTATGCGCTGTTAATTTTAGTTGAATGAATGAGTGAATATAAATTCTTCTACAGCATCTATCATTGTATGGTACTATAGGAGATAAATGGTGGCTTAGCGTATCATTTGGAATGCTGCAGAACATTCCCAATGGAGAGGCAAAGCCTAACTATATGAAGTAAATGACAGGAAAAAAAGTGATATGAATTTAATAATAAAAATAGCTAACAATTACTGTCTACTAGGTACAAGTACTATTTGAGTGCTTTATATCTCTGTGCTCTTCACCTGTTAACTAATTTAATCCTTGAAATAGCTCTCTATTTGGTATACATACATATATATTACATATTATAAGCATATTACATATGTATGTATGTATATATAATATATGTAAAACAGAGCCTAGAACTAAGGTATAAACACATATTTTGATAGCTTCTTCAGAGTCCCTTCAGTTTTTAAAAAAAACCTAAGTGGCATTAACAGTCACTTCCCTATAACCCCAGTGACTGAGCCCTAGTTTGGCTATTGCTTAATCTCATCCGCATAAGTGAGGCTAATATTAGCTTGAAGTCTGAGAAAGGTCACTGTTGGTACTCCTTCTGCTTTTGCTCTAGTTAGAGATGTTGTCTAAATTCTCTCAGTGGGAGATCTGAAAGGCCTAGTCTACTTTTCAGAATGTGCCCTGGCCTAGAAAATCCAAGCCTAGAAGATCATCAGAATGGACCAATTATAGTTGAACCAACCTGCCTAAAAACAAACAAAATGAAACAGAAAGGTAGCTCTACTATGCAAGTCCATTACTTTTCCTAGGTTTCTTTTCCCTCTTTTCATTGGAATTCTTGAGTTTCTATATTTGGAATTGCATAAGAGTTTTTTGCTATAATATTGAGTTTTCTGCCTTTGGCAACCTTTTTATTTTTGGCTAAGTATAATGAAACATAAGAGATAAAATTCACTAAGTAAACAACATTGCGAAGGTGGATGCGAACAATATTAATCTTGTTGCTCAGGTAGAATTTCTATAGCCTCATAGTTGATAAACTATTTGAAACACAGTAGAAATCCTTTGTAACTGGGGTATTTAAAGAAAATGAGAGCCAATTCACATCCTTAACACATAATTCAATAAAAGTCTGTAATGTGGTTAACATTTGACTGCAGTATAAAAAGAATGTCTCCAGATTACATCTCAACCTTGAAAAATTAAACCCAAAATGAACAGAGGTAGCACATTGAATTTACAGCAGCTGTGCTGGCCTCATTACAATCTAGCATGGTGACAAACTATATGATAGCAAACCCTTTCGTTCCAATAGTGATTTTCCACAGAGAAATTATAAAGTACCTTGGGAAATTATGCCATTAATATTCATTAAGCGCACATAGTGGCAGAAGCTGAAGAGCAGAGGTTCAATGAAGCCATAGGCTCTGCTGAGAATAATCTCAGACCCTGACTTTACCTCATTGATCATCCCCAAGGCCAGGCTTCCTCTTGACTGCATGAGTCAAAAGACCCTTCCCTGTAAATCAAATGCCTTCCACCCAGAACACTATGATTTATAGAAAGTTTTCTGCTTCTGTAGAGAGTTAATCAAGGTTTTCGTTACCTTCTTATCCGCATTGTGTCTTTCATTTTTCAGCATCTTAAACCAAAACCCAAACATTTTAGTGATAATATGGATGCGTAAATATTTATCCAGCTAGACACACACACACACACACACCTCAGTGCTTTAGTACAGTTTTCATTGTGTGTTTCAAACAAGGTCAGCATATTTCTCACACATACTAAATTTCCTCCCATTGAGTTATAAGTTAACAGTTGGCCTCGAAATAACAATGTTTTGTGCTCTGTCTTATCAAAATATGCTAATTTTATCCAAATTACTAGTTAATGCTATGTGCCAGAATCATCTACAAAGAGACACCAAAGAAAACGCCATGCCAGGAATATTTCAGCATAAAAATTAGCTTTTATATTATTCTTTCATAAATATTATTTATTCTGCCACATTTTTGTTATTTGAAGCAGATATGTTGAACTGAAACAGTGGGGAATGTTTACATGATAACTAAAAATCTTTTCTTTTTCTTCCTCCAGATATTTTCTCAATGATTTCTGACTCCAGTGGGGTGATGGTTTATGGACGATATGATCAATTCCTGCGGGAAGTTCTCAAACTACCCACAGCAGTGTTTGAAGGTCCTTCATTTGGTTACACAGAACAGTCAGCTAGATCCTGTTTCTCTCAACAGGTAGGAAAAAACGTGTTTAAGGAAGTATCTTTCAAACAGCCATTGCTCTTCTTCTGTGTGTCACTCCAGGTCACTACTCAGACAGTTCTTTTTCATGATAACCTGTAGTATATCTTCCAACCTCTGACAAACGACCGTAAGTAAACTTGACACACCTGGATAGTAACAATAGGAGATGTCTGCTGACTATGTGCCAGGTACCATGCTAAGTTTTTTATTTGCATTGTCAAATTTAATCCTTACAACAACCCTATAGTTTCAGTATCATTGTTCTCACTATACTATCGAAAGGGCTGAATTATCACTTAGCTTCACATGAAACACAAGTCTGGCCCATCACCAAGTTTCACCAGTGTTTAGTAAAGAAGACAGAAAGATAGGGCACATCCCCCATCTCACTGTGGGAGTCTCAAAATGTGAGAGACATGTCTACCTAAATCTTCCACAACATGATACATTTGAGGCTCAGAGTGACATATTTTACCTGAAGATGGTACAAGTTAGTCCAGGGAAGCTGCTTAGTTTGGAGGACACTCCATGTGTATATCTCTCCAGTCATGTAGAAAGTTTCCATATCTAGCACCATTCTCCAGCACAGCACAGTGGTAGTTTATAAATCCATAAATTAAAGGGTTTTTTATACTTTTTAAAAAAATTCAAACTAATCAAGAAAGTCTTCTAAAAGGATCCCCTAAATAAGAAATCAGTGCATAGCAGCCACTGAAAGACTACACTTACTGTCCAGCTAGTAAACTTCATCATTCTGTTTCCTTGGTGATCCAGGAAGTCAAAAGTGCCTCAGGCATCCCTGCAGTCATGATTTATGTAAATTTGTGTAGAATCATAAACACATCCATGTGATCAAGAAAGGAAGGGATGGTTTGATACAGCATGTGCTAACTCTTCTGCCACATCTCACCCAGGAAGCCTTTCTGACCCCGCGCCCCCACCCCAAGGCCAACTTGGGTGCCTGACATCTGCCCCAGCAGGATTTGGTAATTGATGAGAAGTTCTGAGCTATGAAGTTGTACAGAAGGAGGCTTAGGTGAATAGATCCATGGTCCTCTTTCAAGTTCCCTTTCGAGTTCGTGACGTCGGAATGGATCCATTCACCAAGTTCTGCTGATTTTACTTTCTACGAGTTTCTCAGATCTCTTTCCTTACCACCTACTGTCTGCCTATTGCATTAAGCCCTAAACTGATCTTTCTGCCTCTGAATTTGTTTGTTTGCACATTTGTTGATTTTAGGTAGTGTATTATGGAATCTTCAGTAAATATATTAATGTGTCAGTATATTTCACATTAAAAAATAGCTGGAATAATAGGATTTTAAAATTTCTACCTATATATTCAAAAAGAATTATATAGGAGGTTGCCATTGCTCAAAATTCCTTCTGAAATATCCTATAGACTTTCCCATCATATAATATTTTATGTATCCTCAATGAGGAGAAATTTATACATGTTGAAATCGTAATATTTTTTGAAATTTCCAGAGTGATTTTTGCCAGTATGATAGTCAAAATGGATAAGATCCTTTGAAGTACAAAAAGAGACAATGCCAATGCCGTGGTCCGGTGGCTTAGTTGGTCAGAGCATTGCCACGTACATCAAAAAGGTTGTGGGTTCGATTCCCAGTCAGGGCACATAGGTTTCGGGTTTGATCCCAGTTGGAGCACTATCAGTGTTTCTTTCCCACATTGATGTTTATTACTCTCTCTCTGTCTCCCTTGTGCTCTCTCTAAGATCAATAAACATATTGATATTTTTTTATCCTCAGGTGAGAATGAAAAAAAGAGGCAGCAAATAAAAATAATAAGACCCGTTTATTTTTATGCTTCATAAACTGGCTATAATAGCAGTTTGAATGATGAAATTCCAAAATTGTTTTAATTGCTTCACTGGAAAAAGTACAAGCCACTCCAAGTGATTGTTTTGAAAGACAGAATTATTTTAGGTATATAAATTGTGGGAGCTTTTAAAATATACTATCTCATTACTTATACTAGTGTTTATATCAATCCTACAAAATGCTTAAGGTATTTAGTATTATAAGGAAAGGCTAAAATTGTAAATATCTGATAAAAAAAATTGTTAAAGAGTACCAAAACAGTTGTCTTGTGAATTACTAGTGTAAGGTATAGCCTTTGAAAAGGCATTAGAGTCCTTCAGGACTGATTTCTTATCTAAAAAAACAAAACTATCTCATCCAACTTCATATTCTAATTCAAAATTTCAAATAAAATGGTGATTTTTTTTTGCATATAAACATGTAATTTTTTGTCATTCATTCTATGAAAATAATATGTATATAACTTCTTTTTTTGTTATTTTGAAAGAAACTTATAATACATTCATCTTATACATCAGAAGGGACCAGTATGAGACAGAAGCAGATGGAATTCAAAGAAAAGATATATAAAGAGAGAATTTATTTTAACGTAGGCTATTCTCTCCTTACAGGGAGGAGTGCTTCCTCTTAACAGCATTCCCTCCTAAACTTGTACAGCAGAACCATTCGCATTGACTGAAATGTTTAGTGCTCAAGGAGGTCGAGGAAGCTTATTCTACACATGTAGAAACTGATATGGGGATTGTGGCATGTACCATAACACACGACTGGGTAAAACTTTATGGAAGTGCCTGTTCATCTTTCTGCATCATTTTCATACTGTCCCTCATATATAAAAGTGACGCTCTCAAAATTATTTTTCTCTTTGCAATAAAATTGACTCAGCCTCAGTGGAGATAATTCAGTTCTGTGTATAAGTACAAAACACAATCAATGTTTGAAATTCTGCCAAACTTAGTTTCAAGTTCTGTTTCTTCATATATTAGAGGTTAATTGAATGTCTTGTTCCTTCCATCTCAAATGATAGTTGCATAGCAGGTAAATTAAGCTTGCTCTCTGTTCTAAATTATTGTGGGGCTTTTTTGTTTTGTTTTGTTTGATGCAGAAAAAAGTCACATTAAATGGTTTCTTGGACACGCTCATGTCAGATCCTCCCCCTCAGTGTCTGGTCTGGCTGCCCCTTCTGCATCGGCTGGCAAATGTAGAAAATGGTGAGTAGTTACTACTGAGTTAAGGCAGTTTTTTTATTCATTGAAATTAGGTGATCAAGTCTATAATTATTAAGCCCAGGTCATTGTTTTAGGGAAATCTGTTTCATTGTTCTGAGCTTTGTTTAGGATGGAACTAACCAGTCTCCCTGATCAATGAGGCCTTATAGGTGCACTGCAAAACTAAGACTGTCAGTTCTAAAGGCTTATTTAGTCTCGCTGTGTATCTCTCAGTTGCAAGTCAGATGTGCCTTAAAGACTTGATACAACAGAGAAATCTCAACAAGGAATGTGATATTTTCTAGTATTTGTTTTAGGTCTGAATTTCCAATATTGGCTTACACTGGCATTGACTGTTTCTTCCTAGGCACTCAGCCAGGAATAGGTGGAGGAGAGGAAAATAAATTGGATGAGAGAACCTTACTCATCTTTTGTTATATGATCCAGATTATAAGCTTTCAATGGTTGTAGTTATGTAAAAGATACAAGTAATGCAAACTTTTGTAATGTGCTTTTTTATGTCTAGGATAAAAGTAGTAAATACGTATATATCCAAATTTAAATGTAAAACACAGTTCAGAACAAGATTTAAAGAATTTAAACACAGAAAAATTCAGTGCCTCCTCTGATCTTTAGGTGTTCTTTTTTATTATTCAGTTTAAGTCTGAGATTTCTCCAGATTAAATAGAAAATAAATTATGCCATATCTCTTACTAGAATCTTAACTTCTATACATTTCTTTACTATACATTGGAGGTAAAGTTAGCTTAATTTGAAATTCCCATTCAGAACTTCTAGCATCTGCCCTTATTATCTCTCTTGGTTAAAAGTTATAAATGTATCCTGTTTGCTCATGGGGAAGATTTAAAGAATGAATTAACTAGATTCTCTGTGATCACTACTAAGCATAGATTTGTTTTTCATGTTTCTTACTCATCTGCAGAAGCAAAGAGCCATTAAGGCCAGCCTCGTGCAACCTGAGTTCCTATTACTGTTCACAGTCCCAGAACGAGTCATCTTCCAATCAGGAAGCTGTAATTTCATTCCTCTAGCTCAGGATTTCCTGTTGCAGGAAATTAGTTTCTTAGGCCCTGTCCCGGAGCAGTTGTCTCCAAATTCAGTTCTCACTCAGCCTTTCCCAAGAGCCAGAGAAGGGAGGATATGATGCTTATACAGAAGGCAGTACATCCAGAACAGGTTATGTCTTTGTTTTTATAATTTGCTTTTTATCTTCATGTATTCCCATTTACATTATTTTTATTTTCTCCGGCTGCTTAGCCAGAGAATAACTTAACCAAAGGCAAGAATTGCCGTTGTTGTTTACAATCTTTAGCTCACAGGGTATAGACAACTACTTGGATTTGATCATTTGTCAGCTTCAAATTTCACCTATTTTACCTTGCCTGTTTTATAATTCAGATTTTCTGCCAAAGAAAGTTGTGTCTCTTGAGCTGTCTGAATTAGATAATCTACACATCTCGTTGGGCCCTATCCATCTGTCTCTTAGGAAAGAAAAAAAATCTGTTAAGTGGAGGCAATGTCACTCATTAAATAAGCTCATTAGCTACTTTATTTTTTTTAAATTCAATTTTCTCATCCAGTTCTTCTACCCTCCCTCCATTTCCCTTTCTTTTTCCTTCCTCTTGTGTCCCATTTCTCTACTATTTGCTCTCTACCCACTGGATAGTCAGCTATGTTCACCCATGGTGCTTCTGAGTCTTCCAGTGAGCTGTGCTGGCCTCCTGGAGACGGGGAGCAATTTGGGGAAAGGCAGGCCAGTCTGGGTCATTTATACTCTCATAGTGTAAGAGACGGGAGTCCAAAGAGCAAATGGCATTACAGAAATGTGTTGTTAAAAGAACACCTATCCTCCATCTCATTCCATTTCTCCCACGTGCTTAAAAAGGACAGTGAGATTCCTGGAAAAAACATAATGCCTCTTTCAGCCAAAACTATCGCCTGAAAGCATGGCACACAGCAGAAAAATGCAGTTCCCCTTAGGCTGTGCTTTTCCTTGCTCTGGCTCATCCTTTGGTTTTCTCATTTTTTCATTTACTGTTCCTTTAGTCTTCCATCCAGTTGAATGTTCCTTCTGCCACAGTGAGAGTATGATGGGATTTCGATACCGATGCCAACAGTGTCACAATTACCAGCTCTGTCAGGACTGCTTCTGGAGGGGACATGCTGGTGGTTCCCATAGCAACCAGCACCAAATGAAAGAGTACACGTCATGGGTAAGGCAAGGTCCAGGCAATGCTAAAAGTTGGGTGTGTGAGTGTGGCCAGAATGCAAGGGAATATTAAGGATAGTGACAGAATTAAGGAGCAAACTTGCCCTGTAGTCTAACATCCCTTCTTTCCCCCATCCC